GGTGCGGGTGGCCTGCCCTCGCTGTGCTGTGTGCAGTGTGACGGCTGCTCGTGCTGTGCTCGTGTCTGTTCATCTCCCGTAGCTGGGGCTTCTGGGGGATCCCGGGCTTCGGGGTGGCTGATCGCCCTGAAACTTTCCATGTCATGATCAGTGAGGAACTTCTGTGAAACCATTGACTCCAGACTCCCTGGGGGTACTTTCCTGGCGTTTGGGCTCTTCCCGCAATCTCTGGGTTCACTGAGGGGTTTCCTGGACTTATTAGGAAAGGGCATAGGAGCATTTTCAGAGCCCAGACTTGTGTCTGGGCTTTTTGATCTGGGGCAATGCATCTTCTTATTTTGGTCAGTTTTTAAGGATCCTGACCTTAATATGATTAAGTATAACTAATGTCTTGGTTTTCCTAAATCTTGTAATTAAAAATAAACAAGACAAGGTGTGAGTATGTAGGAAGACCCAGAATTTAGCTGACTGAAGTTGAAAGAGAGAGGTGGCCTGGTGTCTTGATGAAAAAGACAAGAAAATAAAGCCCCTGAGGTAGGGAGCCATGTCATTTCCCTGAAGTTTTTGTGTAGCCCTGGGGCTCCCCCAAATGCAAGTTGGGCTGTTTCTTGGCATGGATGGTGAGGGTTTTGAGGGAACCAGAGAGTTGTGCTTATGGAGGAGACATCAGTATGTGAGTGCCCTCTGCTGCAGACACACGCTAGGTGTGTCGGATGCCGCCAACGGTAGGGGCTCAAGCCCCACTCCTAGTTGCGCTTATTAATCTAGAGAGACGCTGTTATTTCTTTTCTTCTTTCTCCATCCCCGAAACCCTTCCCTCAGAGGAGGAAACAGCAACTTAGAGATGTTGAGCAGCTATGGGGTCACATAGTTGTTAGTAAGCACATAAATGGGATTCACACCTCTTCTGTCATGAGAAGCCGGTTGTTCCTCCTTTGCCTTAGGGTGATGCTCTAGCTCAGCTGCGTGAAGGGGAAGTTGCATGGGCATCTCATTGGTGTTTTTGAGTGACGAATCTGGGACCTGAGGAGTGGGATGTTCACCTTCAGGCAGCATCCAACCCCGTCCCTCCCGTCCCCCCAGCCTCGTTGATCTAGGAAAGGGGGACATTGCAGGGAGGGTCCTGACCCTCCCCTGCTTCAGAGAAGTCTGAGCCTCTGCGTCCTGACTCCTGCCTGGAGCCAGCTGCCTTTCAGGCACGGCCGATGGGTGGGTGTGGGGCCGCAGGCCTTCCTAACCTGGGATGGTGACCAGTGCTTGGTTCAGCATAAACCTTCTGAAGTGAAAATTCTCCGGCTGGTTGGCGGAATGGCACCTTTTCCACCAAGGGGATCTACTCTCCTCAGAGCACCGATTCTGGCAGCAGAATCTTGAAGCTCCTTTTTGAAATGCCTCATGGTTGGCGTTGATTTTCTTATGGCCGTGGGGCCACACTGCATGGTAATGAGCTTACGCAAGAATTACTGAAGGGCAGGACCCTGCTTGTGGTGCCCTGCTGGCACTGTCCTAGCAGATGTCTCCCTTCTTGCCAGGGACAGCTTTTAGTCCAGTTTACAGCTGCTGACGCAGTAACAAAGAGTACAGAAGGACACACCACACTAGAGCAGATGGGAGATAGCAGCTGCCGCCAGCTTTACAGGTGCAGCCTCGGGGAAAGGGCTTCAGGAAGACAGTCACAGCAGTAGTGAAAACAGCTGTTTTCTACGCTGTCTCAGACCAGGCAAAAGGAAAACCAGGCAGTGTATTAAAATGAGACACTCCTCTCCAGAGTATAGAAGATCTCCCTGCGCCCCCACACCCCCTCCCCAGGAATGGACACATTTCTCCTCAGTGATCCGTGATCTCTGTTGAGTTGCGTTGTTTGTTGTTGTGTAGCAAATCACCCCAGAACTTCGTGGCCTAAAACAACAATGATTTAGTATTTCTCATGATTCCTCAGGTTGACTGGGGTTTTCCTGCAGGTCTCGCTTGGGCTTACTCATGTGCCTGTCATCAGCTGGAGAGCTGCTGGCCTGGCTCAGCAGGGACAGCTAGGATGTTAGGCAGTTCTCTCCATGTCTGCAGTTGGCTCAAGTGTGTGGCTAGTGCCTTGGTTCTCAAAGTGTGGTCTCTGGACCAGCAGCATCTGCATCACTTGTGCACTCGCTGACTCTCGGGCCCCATACCAGATTTACTGAATCAGAAAGTCCGGGGGTGGGGCTAGGCTATCTGTGGTCCAACAAGCCCTCCAGGTGATTCTGATACTCCTGAGACTTGAGAATCACTGCTCCTGAGTATTAGGGCTCTTAGCACGTCTTCCTTTCCCTTGCTACCTGTTCCTCCTTTCTCAGGCTCTCTGTCTGTCTGAATTAGGGTATTCTTTGTAGTGTCTACCCTGGATTCTGTTTGTGTCAGTGTAAGGCTGGGGTTTTCTTACTGCTCAGGGGACATTTACTGACCATCAGTCATTGTGCCCAGGCACGTGGGCATAGAGGTAAGACATGGTGCCTGAACTTCCTCAGCTTATAGTCTGTGGGAGGTCGGCCAGTTCAGCAGGGGCAGTGATGAATTCAGTTCGTGTTAATCTTGCGATATCCAGGCAGAAAGCAATATCTAGCACGTAATTGATCCCAGGAGTTAAAACTCAAAAGGCAGGGCCGGAGCTAGCAATTTGAAAGTTCCTTTATACACAATAATTTAAAACTGGTTTTCCTCAAAGGTGGCTATTCATCAGAATCAATTGGGATCTTTAAAAAATGTGGATTATGCACCCCCTCAATCCCCATGACTGTGCGAGTGTTTGGGATCCTTAAGTCCCTGGGTGATTCTGCCCAGCCAGGCTTGAGGAACACGCTCCCAAACCGTGAAACTGTGACAACCCCCTGGAGAAGGAGTAGAGAAAGAATAGGAAGCCAAGTGTGGAACCTTGGGGGACTGCCTGTGATTACGGGCCAGCATAGGGAGAGTCTGTGTGAGAGGACTCTTCTGGAACCAGGGAGACTGGAGAAAGATGAGAGCAGGGTTGTAGACAGACGCCAAGGGACTGGAGAATTAGGGTGGGGAGGGCGTGGTTGAGGAGGATCAGATGCGGGCTCTGCATCCGTGGTGGCCAGAGCCAGAGCGGGAGCCAGACTGCAGCGGTGACCAGTGAGGGGGCAGGCCTGGATGACTTTCAGGGAACTTCAAAGGAAGGAGAGAGGGAAGTGGGAGGGCGGGACCAGTGAAGCAAGGTGTTTTTGTTTTTTTAAATGGGAGAAGCCCGAGCACGTTGCCCAGGGCAGAGAGGCACGGAGAGGGCTGCATGGAAGAGGGTTATTGAGGAAGCCACATCCTGGAGGAGAGGAGGATGGATGCAAAAGCCCAGCTGTTAGGATTGGTCTTGAAGAAAAAGAGGGCCACCCCCGCTCATCCTGGAGAGAAGGAGGTAAGAGAAAGGGTGTGAAAACAGGCGAGTTTGTAGCTGCTGAAAATGGTTGTGGTTTCTCTGTGTCCCTTTTCCTGGTAACCCCAGGGCGCACTTTTCACTTGCTTTGTTCATTTTTACTGATGAGGTTGGTGGGATTTGTGAGCTCCTACATTGTTCAGGGTGCATTCCCAGAACGGGGCACCTTTGGTGTCAGCGAGGCCACCCGTGACTGTTGGCACACGCGTGACTGGGGGCGTTCTTGGGGTCCGTTGTTTCCATGGAGTTCATGTTGTGGCACCACAAGACCCCCACCTTGGAAATGGGCTGGCTGGGTTTCAGCAGTTCCCTGTAAAGCGTTGCTCTGAACTCCCTGTTTCACCATGGAAAGCAAGTTAGTGGTTAGTGCCTGGTGAGTTCACAAAGCTCACTCAGCTCATGATGCTGTGGAAATTGCCGGAAGTCTGTGTCTATGACCCCCTTACGTCAACCCATCTATGGCGCCGCCTCTTCTGTGCCTGTTACTCTTCCTCCTGCTCAACCCTCCTGCCTTCCCCCTCTGACTCCTTTTTCCATAACGTTTCAGTTTCTTTGAAGGACTGATAGACTTGGAAGGTTGACCCGGCCTTCTCTTGCGCATGCGCAGTGTGTCAGAGGAAAGGGGTGTCTGTGGGGTTGGTGGCTCTCGCTCTGTGAGGTTGCAGGCTGGTGCTGTCGGCATTTGGCTGGGCAGTTGCTCGGGCTGAGGCTTGCAGCATCCCCAGCTCTCCTTGCTAAATGTCAGTATCACCCCTCAGTTTGTGACAGACACCCCCTCATACTGTTTCCAGACGCCCCCTGGGGATGACAGCTTGCTGCCTGTTGAGAACTCAGCTGTTCACGCATCTCTCTGGTCAGGAGCCGGTAGGACGGCTGTAGGAGTCCCTGCAGTTGGGCTCCTTGGAAATGTACACTGTTGTGTGTGTGGTCAGCTAACCAGGCTGGTGGGTAAGAGCTTTTGGAAGCTGTTTCAAAGGCATGATGTTTACATGACAAAAGAAAACAGGTTGGTTATCATTTCCTGGTATCTGGTTAAAATATGTAGGCAAGGCAGTAGCTGTAAGTGAAGATGCGTAGGACGGTATTTGTTGTGCTTGAAAACATGGCCTGTTATGGAACAATTAAGTTAGGGTGTAAATTTTTTTCCTGTTACATATATAGCTGGTTAACCTATGTCTTAGTATGTACTAACCTGAATTTAGAAAATTTGGGGGGGAAGGGTGGGAACAAAAGTAGACTCTTTGCTTAGACAAATGATTTTTCAGTAAGTCCATATATCTGTTATAACATATTCAAATAAGTGTTTTGATTTTTATTTACTTTATACAAATGCTGGAGTCTTTCCTAGTTTTTATAATTTGGGTAATTGTTCTTGTTTGTACACTTGCTGTGTTTCATATCCTAATGCATACATGTGGGTGAGACTTAGAAATCTTTAAGTCCTGAATTTGAAGAATCGTAGTCACAACCAGCCTTCAGTGAGGAAAACGGATCAGTCTTGGAGGGACTGTGGTCTGTAGGTTATAAATACAAGGAAATAGCTGTCACAGGATTGTGAGTTTTTGAAGTTTTCTTTCTTTTCCTTCTCTCCTACAGAACCTAAAAGCAGATCCAGAAGAGCTTTTTACAAAACTGGAGAAAATTGGAAAGGGCTCTTTTGGTGAGGTGTTCAAAGGCATTGACAATCGGACTCAGAAAGTGGTTGCCATAAAAATCATTGATCTGGAAGAAGCTGAAGATGAGATAGAGGATATTCAACAAGAAATCACAGTGCTGAGTCAGTGTGACAGTCCATACGTAACCAAATATTATGGATCCTATCTGAAGGTAAAGCTTAAAAATAAAAACACGATTTTCCATGATGCAGCACTTATCTGAGCTGCGAGCAGTGTATGTGAAGGACTTCAATAAAGAGCACAGCAGATTTTCAAAGGAAGGAGAAATGTCTCGACCTTTGCAATCAAAAGAACCTGGCTTTTTTTATCATCTTAAATGTCACTTAGAGAAATATATTTTTGGTAAAAGTGTTTGATGTTGAAATTTCCTTTCAGACAAGAAAGGGTATTTCTGAGTGGGATTTTGTCATCAAAAACACATTTCTTATTAAGTTGTTATAATGATAACCATTAATCACCCAATTTTAGCATGGTTTATGGTAAAAACTCCTGCCAACCTAAGAATATTAGTTTTTTGATATTTTCAGTTATCAAATGTGGTTTAATTTAATGCTGTTTTTAAAAACTACTGAAAATTGATAATGTTGATTAGTTGAGCTAGTTTATTACATTTAACTTTTAAGAATTCTAGGAAAGTAAGTAATTACTTAAATAAAACAGTAGTTATAATACAACACTACAAATTGTCCTTGATCTTCACTCAGTTCTTTAAGTGAGAGAGGAGTATTAAAGATGGTTTTCTAGTCCTCCATGAAACATTTTAGATGTTGTAGGGTGATCATGTTATACCAAGAAAGTTTAAGACTAGCCCTTGTGTTTCAAGTTCCTTGACATATGCCTGTTTTACTGAACTTAGAAATGTAGTATCTTTCAAAATGGGGTTTTGGAAATTTTAAGAATTGGTGAAAAAAAATTCTGCAATAATTCTTGTGGAAACTAAAACTTCATAGGTAGAAAGAACTATTTCCTGGAGGAGGCAGCAATAAGCCTGGATAATGTAAGACTGGGCCTCCTCCTGTCCTGGGTTCATCCTCTAAATTCTCCACGTTGCAGCTCACAACCTGCTCTGATGTCAGAGGGATAGTGCAGGCTTTGCTTTTGTGGAAATGTAATAAAGCACAAGTGGAAGGATGAAAATTTTGAGAACCTTTGATGCACTAAAATGAATATTTAAAAGAAATAAAAATTGGTAATCCTATTTTTTTTTTTAATTCCTAAAGGATGGCAGTGTGTCGTAGGTCAAATGCCGCATTTTGGAGTGAAAAGAATAAGCTTCGGAGTCAGATGTTTTGGACTTGAATCTTGTTTGTTTTGGTGTGTGGCCTTGAGCAAGTTTTTTTTTTAAACTTCCCTACTTCCTCATTTGTAAAATGGAAAATTATGGTATTTACCTCATTATTGTAAAGATTAAATGGAATTTGGTATGTGAAAATACCGGCATGTAGTAGGTACTTAGTGAGTGTTAATTTTCTTCCTTAATGGATAGAATTTATTCATACCTCGTCCCTGAAACTACCCTTCGTTGAAGGATGCATCCACTGAGGTCGGAGCGAGGAGGCGGAAGTGTGCCAGCAGTAACAATGAATGTTGCTGTGGGGTGCATCCAGTTTGGGTTTTGAGAGGGCAAAAGGGAAGCACTATAAGTTTTGTCATTCTCGTGATCCAAGAGGAGAACACATGTGACTTCCATATGGGAAATCAAAGGTCTTGATGTGAAATTTCTGTTGAGTGAAAACAAACAGCTGAAGAATCTCAACTTGAACTTGCTCTACTGTATAACTTAATATGCTTTGTGGAATGAATTCAACAATAGTTTTACGGTAGATTCGGAGTTGGGTTTCATGTGGTATGCTGACGTTTTGTTTTCATATGAATTATGGTACCTTTGGCAGAGGAAGTATAGAAGATCCTCACATTTTTGGTGATTTATACCACGTAATATTTAACTATGGAAATTAAGGCTCAGTGGTTTAAGAGTATCTTTTTCAACCTCAGTGGAATTTTTTTCTGCACGCTGGAATAGATTGCTTCATGGTAGCCAAACATGGTGTTACCTTAACTGTACGTATCACGAGATTCCATCTGGTATGTCCTACTCTTGCCTGAGTCACTAATTCTAGAACTTACATTCTGAGTCAACCTAACCTTGATCTAGAGTTGCCCAGTGAGTTTATTTAGTTAACACAATGTCAGCTGCTAGAGTAAACCCGCTACATTTATAATGGCTCAAATATGATAGAAGTTGATTTCTTGCTCACTGGTAGCCCTGATCCTTGGGCACTTTTCCTCTAGTTATTCAGGAACCTCGGTTCTTTCTGCCTTGTTGCTTCTCCTTCCATCTTCCAAACCTGGCTCTGCTCGGCTGCCTTAAGCATCGTGGGGGCAAAGGAGGCTCTGGTGGGAAGTTTTCATGTGCCCAGGCCTAGACAGAGAGTGCATTGTTTCAGCCCACATTCCCCTGGCCAGAACTCAGTCGCATGACCACACCAAACTCAGGAGAGGCTGGGAAATGTCACCTAATCATGGGCTTTGTGGGAGAGGAAATGGGCTTGGTGCTCAGCCGGCCATCCTTCTCCAAAGCTACTTCCTCTGTGAAGGAAGCGGAATAACTCACGGAATGATTTTCTCCACTGTCTGTCTGCAGGTAGGATGAAAAATTTTGATAATTTTGTCTAAACTACTTTATATATTTTACTGGGCAGACTGTCCTTTAGGAAATACAACTGCCTTGAGAATGCCAGGAATAATATCACCATTGTGAAAAGTTGCCCTTAATTTCTTAAACCTTTCTGTCTAACTTGACTAAAAACGTAATAAACTGCTCTTGTTAAACAATATTAACTAGTATAAGTTGAGCAGGACAAGAATCCAGACCTGTGATTCTATGTGCCCGTTCTTGTATAACAGAGTTTCATAAAATTCCTTGGCCCGGGGGAAGACCCTCAGTGGTGATCCATCTCATAGGCTTATGGAGTTTAAATTAGTACAGTCCTAACTGTCAAGGAAGATACAAATTAAATTAACATGTAAGACCAATGGGTCTTGGACACAGAGTTGACAATAATTGTGCTTTGGGGGCCGGCCCGGTGGTGCAAGCGGTTAAGTGCACGTGCTCCGCTCCGGCGGCCCGGGGTTCGCCGGTTCGGATCCCGGGCGCACACCGACGCACTGCTTGGCAAGCCATGCTGTGTCGGTGTCCCATATAAGGTGGAGGAAGATGGGCACGGACGTTAGCCCAGGGCCAGTCTTCCTCGGCAACAAAAGAGGAGGATTGGCAGATGTTAGCACAGGGCTGATCTCCTCACACACACAAAAAAATATTGTGCTTTGTATGGTTTTCACTGCCCTTTTAAAAACTCCCCATCGTGTTCAGAGTTGATGTTTTTAGTTCCTTCAGTGGTGATGGGAGAGAGGGCTGTAGGATTTCACTTTGTGTTAAGGAACTTCTATAGAGCAAGATTGGGTAAAGAGGAAATGAGCAGAAACTGGTTTCTTCATTGCTAGATTAGCATTAGAAGGTCTCATCGTTATGTTTTGGTTTCAATCATCTAGTCTAGAAAAAGAGATTAAAAACAATAAGTAAGTGATCTAAATATCCTGAATGTTACTGAAGATTGGGAGAGCGGAGTTAATTTTGACTTTGTAGCTGTGATCAAATCGCAGAATGGCTGTGAAGCATGTTTTTCCCCCAAATGTTAAAAACAACGCCAACAATTTGGGGAGGAGAGGGAATAATACAACAGTGAAAATTTATGTTTATGCTGATGAATCTGAGGCCTGGAAAAGTCTTGAAGATGATCACATTCCATAGAAGAACTTCATTCATTGTAGTTTGTGTTTAATTTTTGGGAAATTAAACTAGCTAGAATATTTAATTAACCAGAAGCCTCTGTATCCCAACCGTTATACCACTGGAGTTTTTACCACAAAAATAACATGTACAAGGTCATAATGAACCCGTGTGTATCTGTGTCTGAGGGTGGTTTGGGTCTGTGCAAGAGGAGAGAGAGAATTTTTTGGTTTTATTGTTGAATTAGGCAGTGAAGACATAATATCATAACAGTGGACAGTGTGGGGTCATACAGGATCCTATGCCTGTTTTCTTTTTATGCAGGATTGACATGTGCTACTCATTCTCCTCAGCGATACAAATCTCTGCTTTTTAATTTTGTGGAGGTTGCCAGCCTATTAGAATCTCCATTTTGAGATTCTCTTAGAGTAATAGCCAGAATTTTAGTCTCAGATCCTAGTACAGGGACTTAACTGTCTGGGTGTCTCTCAGGCTGCTGACTTCCTCAAGGATAAAATGCAGATAAATATACCTATCTTATGTGATTACTGTGAAGATTGAGATCATATAGGTAAAGTACCTGGCATGTAGGAGATTTTTAGTAAATGATAATTTAAAAATTATTTTTTTAATAAGGGAAAAGCTTTCTTGCCAAATGACTCACAATTCACAAGTCTTAAAAACAGATTATTAGCATACTAAAAATTAGGTTTATCAGTTTCTTTTATGATAAATTATTTAGTATTTTCAAACATCAAGCCAGTTTAATGAAAGCAAATCAGGTGCAAGGCAAAAAACCCAAAACAAAACTGTGTTTATCAAACCTTTACTTGTCTAGTTGTTTTTGGTGTAGTATCTATGTTAAGGAAACATGTCCATGGAGTGAGTAGTTGTCTAATAGTGGATTCATATCCTTGACTTCAGAGTAAGTTTGTCTTCAGTTCTCAAAGTTTCTTAAGGTAGTTTTACCCATCAGATTCACTAGAAAACTAACATGGGAAAGTCCCTTGATGAGTTTTAGAAAACTAAGTGCGCTATGTAAGTACCACTTATTCTGGTAAAGGGTTGATTGTGTTGTATACATTACAGATACAATTTGGAGTAATTTTTTAAAGTTATATTCTTTGAACTTCTGATTTGTCTTTTTTTTTCTTTCTTTCCCAAAAGGAAAAGAGTAGTTCCTGATGAAATAGAAAATCCAATCATTTTACCCTAGGGAAAGAAGTACAAAATACTTAATATAAATGGCTGGCGTCTCTGTGAATGATGCTGCTGGGTAGGGATTACCATCCACCCATGGTCTGGGCTTATGCTCCTTGTCCCAGCATAACTATTAATAGCCGCCCCCTTGGCTTTCAGAA